CTCTCTCCTCCTCCTCCTCCTCCTCTCTCTCTCTCTCTCTCTCTCTCTCTCTCTCTCTCTCTCTCTCTCTCTCTCGCTCTAGGAAAAGAAAGGCAATAGAATAGGGTGGATGACAAGGATCAACGGAAAAAACCACGTATACCAATCGATTTCCAGGCAGAGGTCACATAAATTAGGTAAAACTGACCCAAAATAAAATGGAATACCAAACTTGAATCTAAAAAAAGGTTTCCAAATAAGCAGATATCTCATGCAAAACCTACAAAAACCAAAAACCAAGCAGTATCAACCTAACCCCAGAAACAAAAAATCCAGATGGAGAAAAAAGGAAACGAAAGAAACACAGCATTCAAATTCAGAGACGGTAACGCCGAAGTTCTAACAGAGAACCAACAACGTCCTAAAAACGCCATGATCAACCCAAGAATTACATGGTTAAAGAAAAGACTCAAAGAGAATGAAAACGCAGCTCACAAGAACACCTACTTAATTTTCAAGAAAGCAACAGAAACCCTAGAGAAAGAAACGCCATCAATCAATACCCAAGAATCGAAATAAGAATAAAGAGAGGCAGAAAGAGCGCAGAAAACCAAGCATAACTCAAATAGAAAACGGAAGCACATAAAAAATATAAGAAATGAAAGAAACGGATAGAGAGATAGAAGAGAGAGAGAGAGATAATACCTGGAGGAGGTTTCCTGTGGGTTGGCCTGGTGCTTTTCTTGGAGGCTTCATGAGTACCGATGCCCTGTGATGCTCTCCAGTCCGCCATGTCCGGAGAGAGAGAGAGAGAGAGAGGAGAGAAAAATACTCTCGGAAATTGGGAATTTGAGGTATATCTAGAGAGAGAGAGAGCGGGGAGAAGGTTAAGAGAGAGAAGCTCGGGCTGCCAGGTAATCTCAGGAGTTGGAGCGAGAAAGAGCCTGCGTCTGCCAGGTAATCTTGAAGTTAGAGAGAGAAAGAGATGCTTGGTCTAAGAATGTAGAGAGAGAGAGAGGAACGGGTGCAGGGAAGAGAGAGAAGAGAGAGAGAGAGAGAGAGGGGCAAAATCTAAGGAGGCAAAAGTTGCAGCTGAATTCCAAGACGCAGACCGGGATTTTGTGCCTACCGGTCCACCTGCATGTCGGCCCACGCTTCCTAAATGCCTTTCTATTTCTTGGAATTTCCACGACTAACCCTCAAATTGGTGAAATTTGGAGGCGCAATCAACGTCAGCCTCATTATACGAACCTGTAAACCTAAAAGGAAAACGTTTATATAGAGCCGAGGCTCTAAACAATCAAAATAGATCCCACCTCAAAAATTTCATTACAATAGGTTGTTTTAATGTCCAAATATCTTCAAATTGATCATTTTGATATCAAGATGCATGTACATGAGAAAAAAAATAGATTATAAGTTTTAAAAATAGCGCATCTTGTAACACATTTTTTTACTGTCAATTTTTAAGATTTTCAAGTTTTTATAGATCTGTTCGATCTACACTGCTTTTTAAACTTCTAATTTTATAATTAAATATAAAAATATATTTTAAGGCTATCACTCAGATTTTTACTATTAAAACCACATTTCTCGGTACTATGTGAAGGTGTATTTTACTTAGATTGTTTAGAGCCTCGGCTCTATACAAACCGCACCCAAAACAAAAATGGAAAGAGGTGGAGAAAATTAATTTTCACGCTTTTTTAGATTTGAGATATTGTGGAGTTATTATTCTATCTGTCATGTGGTCACTCAAACATGAATGTAGGAATTACATTTTGGGAAGTTTGGCAATTATATAAGGTTACAATCTTATTGGTGGTAATAAGAATGTGACACTACAAGGTGGATTATGTAAGGAGATTTTGCTAATGTGATCGTTTGCAATGACCTCACGCCTTGGAAGCTGAGTACCATTATGGATGAGATTCTCCTATTGATGATGGCTCGAGAAGTCGGTTTTTGTTTATGTCCGTCATGGCTTCAACTTGGATGCTGATTTTCTTGCTAAGCTTGTTACGTCCTCTTCGTGCTTTTGTTCCATTTTTTGTCTTTACGTTTATTTAGTTTTTTTCGCCCTTGTAACTTCTTTTTATTATCTCAATGAAAAGATCTTAATGTTTAAAAATAAAAAAAATATCTTCATTTTTTTTTATTTTTAAGTTTTATATCTCAATAAATTAAAAGTTTCAAAACATATCTTGAGTCGTGCAAATTTTAAGTTTTATATCTTTTAACTCCCTAAATTAATTTTATCTTTTTAAAATTTTTTTTTACCCCAAACAAATATTAAAAAGACATATCATTTCTAAATACCATCGTTTCTTTTTACATGTGATTTTCCCTAAATCTCTCGCTACCTATTTTCCTACTCTCCTCTCTTTTGTATCTCTCTCTCTCCCTTAGAGAGACAAAGGAGGTGAATGTTAGAGAGAGACAAATTTGGAAGAATATATCACGTAAAGAGATGAAAGGTTTAGAATGAGCATGTTTTTTCTATATTTGTTAGGGCTAAAAAAAATAGTTAAAAGTGGGTAAAGTTAGTCAGGGGTTAGGAAATATATTTTGAATATTTGGATCTATTGAGATATAAAAATCAAAGTTAAGAAGTATGAGGATACTTCTCCTTAAAAATAAATAAATACTCTCTATTATTAATTTTATTAGAAACGATGTAGATTTGACACATCTTTTAAGACAGTATAAATACATAATGAAAAAAGTTTATATAATGGAGACGATGTAGATTTGACACATCTTTTAAAACAGTATCAATACATAATGGAAAAAATTTATATAAAGATGCAATCTTATAATGTAGAACTACGGATGCACCTCAAAAATCCATCGAAAAAGGTAGTTTATTGTTAAAAAACCCTTTAATTGATCATCTTGACATAGAGATATATGACCATGAAAAATAAAAAGATTTTAAGTCTAAAAAATAATGCATTTTACAACATATTATCTACACCGTCCATTTTCAAGATTTTCATATGTTTATGGATCTACTTGATTTTAACCATTTTTTAAATTTAAAATTTTATAATTAGATATAAAAATAATTTTGAGCTAATCATAAGAACATTTTACATCAAAATTATATACCATGTTAAATTTTAAGGTGCACCTTACTTCTATAGCTACGGATGCATCTGTATGCCAATTGCACCCATACATAATACATCTTTTAAAATATTGTTCAATCTACACCGTTCAAATAAAATAAACAATTTAGAGTACTTATGAGATGACATCTAATATGTATTTGTTAAGAGCAAATAAACTATATTTCCTCTTGGGAGTATAGTTTACTTCTACTCCCAAGTCAAAAGACATACTTACGAGTATTTTTTTCAATATGAAATGGTGGGAACCACTTAAGAATCAGTAGATGATTACACTAAAAATAAAAAGATTAAAATTTGAGTTTTCCAAGTCTTAGATATCACAATCTCAAACTTGGAGGGTCTTTATTCACTCTCGAGAAATTATTATTATCAAGTGCATAAAGGGTGCAATTAAGATTTTTTTTTTTATTTTTTTTATTGAGGTTAATTTATAGGTTGAAGAGATTCATCCTCAAAATTTAGGATCTTAAATTTAATTCTAAATAAAAATTTACTCGAGGGAGTAAAAGGCATGTTTGGTTTGCATTTACTCAAGGATGTGAGGAAAATTTGATTTTATTGCATTTTAAAACTCGATGATGAATATTTTCCAACCATGGGAGAATAATGCAGTTTAAAATTTGGTGGCTACAAATTTTATTTTTATTTTTATTAATTTTATGTTTATAGATTGGGTAGACTTTTTATTTTTATTAATTAGGATCAGTTTTTAGAAATAGAATTAGTAGGGATTTTTTTGATAAAGTTATATTTTAGGAATTGTCCTCATTTTCTAGGTGGTGATTTATTTATGCGTAATTTTTTTAGCCTTGTTTAAAAATAAAAAGATAAGTACGGAATATTTTTGGAGGTATTAGTTGGTAGTTCTTTTTTACGAGAGGGGTGGGGTCTTTAGAGGGATAGAAGCATCTAATATAGGTTTGTGTTGGATTTGTTTTAGATTTATTTTAATTTTGGTTATTTAGTAAGAAGATATTTTTTGGATTTGTTTTAAATTTATTTTAATTTTGGTTATTTATTAGAAAGATATTTTAGGAGATGAAGAATGAGAGTCCATAAATTGAAAGAAGCTTATCCCCTACCATAGGGACGTGAGATACTAAGAAATCGACAAAGTAGTTACCTTTTAGTTATAGAAAGGACGGCCTACTTTGTGAAGTGTAACGTGGGTAGGAGTTGAATTTGGTGGGAATAGGTAATAAGTTTCTGTAGTTATCTTTTTTTGTTAGTTATCTTTAGTTTTATAGAAGCAAAACTCTTTTAAAAGGACTACGTGATTTGTAATTGAGGAGATTAAATTTTATGGAATAAAAAAAGTGTTTCTTGTAGAGAGACCTTTCGATCAGTGGGAACCTCTTTATAATCATTGGGAACCTCTTGTATTCGAAGATGCACTGAATAAATCCAATCAATAAATTCTTCTGCTTGTAATATTCTTACAAACTTTGGTAAATCAACTCTAATACCTAAATCCTAAAATCGAAGCTAGTTTTTACGTTGTAAATTAACTTTAATATCTAAATCCCAAGATTAAAGCTAGTTTTTACGCCCAACACCGGTCATCTGGCGTTCTCAAACTTTTACTCCCAAATAAACTTCTATTCCTAATGCGCTAACTACTACCTTCTCTATAATACACGCCCCTCCTCTTTTAAACTTCCCATCCTTCTAAAAGTTTTCCCCCTTACAAACACAATATTTATCCACTTCCCTTATCTATAGGACTTAATTCCCAAAAGTAAAACAATCCTTTTTAAACTACGTACTTCCGTTTGTTAGTAGATATACTTGTGCCTCCAACTAATACGCGCCTTTTTAAAGATAAAAGTGGCAACCTCTTATCTTCCTTATCGAGGTACGGATATCACCACAAATGATTTTAACGAAGAGAACAATTTATTCATATTTTAAGAAAAGTACTAAACTTTTTACAAAAACATGGACTTTATCAACTAACCGCAAAATCCTATTTTTAATAATTAACTTTAATAAATAAATAAATAAAAATATGGATTTTATCAACTAACGGCCAAAATCTTATTTTTAATAATTAATCTTAACAAATAAAAATAAAAAGCCTACCCAATCTCTAAAAATAAGATTAATAAAAATAAATTAAAATTTTGAACAACCAAATCTGCATCAATGGCCCAACTCAAAAAGAATATATGGGGTCTAGGCCTGGCCCGTTCCATTAAAAAGCTTTTTTTCTTTTTATTTTACTGTTCAAACTTTTCTTGTTTATAGTAAGCCATCTATATATATATATATATATATATATAGCAGTATGATGCAACAACTTTCAAAAGACATGTTAGGGCTACTTATTTGATCCAAATTTTGAAATATACACTATTTTCATTCTAATGAACAATCACAATAAAAAAAATTTTAAAACACAACCTAGAAAGTATTTTTTTAGCCCAATTAACATAGGTCATCCATTTTTGTGAGATACTTAGATCTAGTCCTTACAAGAATTTTTTCTTTACTAATGTTTTTAGATGGCTTTATTATGATTAGATGAACAATGTTAAAACAGAGAAATATGCTTTTGAGTATGTAAAGGCTAATATCTTGAAATTCGCCAAATGAATGGTCTAGATTCGTTATTGGAGGGGACTTATTTCGACCAAATCTAGGGTTCAAATTGAAACTTTTTTCTTTTGGGATTGATTTTTTATATGAAGAAAGTGTGCGTACGAAATTTTGATATATATACCATAGTATCATGCAACCACACATCTAGATAACCATGTTTGTGGTATTTGTATGACCCAAAATTTTGCATGTACACTCTCTTTATCTAAAAAATCAATCCCAAAAAAAAAAAAGTTTGATTTGAACTCTAGATTTGGTCGAAATGTGACTCCTCCAACAACAAATCTAGACCATTCATTTGGTGAATTTTAAGATCTTAGCATTTACAAACTCAAAATCATTTCTTTCTTTTTTAACATTGTTCATCTAATG